CGGTCGCGTTTTTCATTGTCATTTTAAAAATTAACATTGGCGGCATAAAATATTATAAAGAAATTTAATTTGTAGCAGATAGTGGAAATTCCAAAAGTGAACATTATATACTTTTTTAATAATCATCTTAGTATCACACGTATTTATCAAACAGCCTAATGATGTTGCATATGTTAAATGTATATTAAAATTAAGCCGGAAAACTAAAAAGATGTGAAGGATGTGACTTAACAAATAGTATTAAACTAATTTTTTTTCATGAATAATGCTAATTATGATGGTATTAATATTGTAGCTCATTTTGTACACAATTAATCGCTCTATAAACTGCGTTAAAGCTGTTCTGCTATAGCAGGATTTGGCTACGTGGCAGCTATTTTACTGGACAAAACCAAATGTCTTAACCTAAAATATTTCAATAAGTTGACTTTTCTGGCCATTAACTTATGATTCGAGCCTTTTGAAATTAGTCTAACTTGTTCAGACTTTTCTGCTCGTTCGATTCATGTGTAACTCAGACTTTTAAAATAGGAAGCAGAACTAAAAAATATGATAGAAGTCTACTTTTTCCAGTTTTTTATAAAGCTTTTTGTATAAAATCGGTAACTGAGTCATGTTTAGACTCTAAGGTTTAAAAACTTTGGGTTTGGGGTAACTTTGAACGTTGAGAATGATATCATAAAAAATCGTTTTAATTTTTGACTAAGTTACGGGTATTTTGAGTGATGCTTGGTATCCCTTACGAATCCTCCCTTAAGATATTCCTAAAGCACAAAAAAGTAGTTGTGTCATGAGCGTTGTTACAAAAGAACTGCTCAATGTGTCGAATGAAGCTGTTTTCTAGCCTCTAGCCTCTCGAATTTTTTTGGAAAAATCTGAAAAATTTTAAGCGCTCACCTGAAAAACCTGGCAGTTATTTCCTTTTATTCTTTTACTCTCACGCCTGGATTTTTATATTAAAATACAGCATCTATTCGTTAATAGTTTTTCACTGATTACTTTAAAAATTGATAGACGCAAAATCCAGTGTAACAAATAGTGGCGTAGCCACAGGTGGGCTAAGCCCACCCTCAAGATATTTGAGTTTACCTGGAAACGTTTTTTAGGTGTCTGAAGAAAACTTGTGATATAAGATATGAAAGATATCACATCACATTGTTGTTTGAAGTATAAAGCTTTCGATCAATTCTGTAGCGGCTACTTATTGTTATTTTTAGATACCCGTACCTCATTCTCCGTACCCTCTCTTATCTCCCATCGTTCACTATGTTCGGGGTCTTTTCTTGTTCTCATATATTCTCTACGTCCTCTAATCACATGTTCTACTCACTATATTTCGTGTCTGTTTTTCATTCTTCTCACGCTCTTTTCTCGTATGTTCTTCATAGTCTCTTTTCATATGATATCAACTACCGTTTCCATTCACTGTGTCTTTTCTCTTTGCAATATGTCATCCACTAGGTTATTAAGTGGTAGTTGGTACATCCTATCTATTCGGTTTTTTAAATATGTGTTCTTGTCAGTTCCCCTGTCGTTCAATCAGTATTTTTCTTTCATTCTGCTTTATTCGTTTCTTCTCACACATGTCAAATATGTTTGGATTTTTCCATTCCTGTCTACCAAGTATGTTTGGTCTTTTTCCTTCCTTCTCTATGTGTCATCTTTTCATATGTACCATGGTTTTTCACACATCCATTTACAGAAAATAATTTCTTTTAAAGAAACACTTGTCTGTAAAAATATTTCAAATTCGCGGTTCTATTCAGAATTGAGTGGGCTACATTTTCAAAAAAAGTCGGATTCTCCAGCTCATAATCTGAAATTTTTATTTTAAATTTTAAATTTTTTTAAAACTGCACCTTCTGCGTTCACAAGCTAGCTGAAACATTTCCAAGGGTAAGGTTGGATAGAGCTCGAAAAACTGAACATATCTGGATAGTTGGTGAGTTCCAGATCTTGGATAAAAATGGTTTTCTAGAGGTTTTTCAAAAACTTACCTACTAAAATTTATATTTTAGTTCCCTTGGTCTTCAACGATTTTCTATGCTTTTCTCATAGGCTTCTGACGTTTTACTACAATACAGTAGTTTTTTTTTCTGTTCTGTAATGTACTGTTTTACAGTTATACACACTTTTCCCTCTTATCAAAGCATCTGACAGCATCAGGATAAATCAATTTGTTCTTTTGTTGCCCTGTCACGTAGTATTGCTTTTGTTTGAATTTTATTCTAACTTTTTACACAGCACGCAGTCTTTCTGCGTAGACACGAAAATCTGAGTCAGAGTAGATTTTCGAAGTTATATTAGCCTTTCAAGTGTAGTTCGTTTTGTTATTGTCCGCAACTGCTGGTTTGTTGTGTAAGTACCAAAAAGATTTATAGATTTGTAGCTCTAAATGCGTTTGAATTTTTAGTGTAAATCATGCCAATAACTTGTTGCGTTCCAGGATGCTCCAAAAAAACAGGAAGACATGAATCGAGGTCGTAAGAAAGTTGCGTTTTACAGTCTACCTTCCGATCAGACTAGTTCGAAACAGTGGAGTGATATTCTGAACTTGGATTCATTCCGACAAAATTAGGGATTATTCTAGCAGAGTCTGCAGTCAGCATTTCTCACATTGCGATATCGTCAATCAGAATGAGCGAAGGTTGTTGGCGAAAGCTGCAGCGCCACTTTGGTCCAGTGAAAATGGTATGAGTATTGGGTTAACCTGCTAAACAAATTTTGTTGCATTATTATCTCTTAAGTAGATGCTCCTCGTGTTTCGAGATCGCGCTCACAGTCGCAGACATCGGTTTATAGCAATTTATGTGGCAGTTGATCACGTGCTTTGTTCTCCTGTTCAAATATCGAAGATTTTTCTCCAGCGGACGAAATCGAGCATTTGAAGACTGAACTGTTGTCTTTAAAGCTCCAGGCTACGTCCCCATCTTCAGAGACCTTTGAGAATGATGATTTCTTTATACACAGGTTTTCTAACATATGCAATTGCCCGATTTGTCCTAGATTTAGCAGAGCCAGGAAGAAACGGTTTGTTCGTCACCGAATGATTGCCACCGATGTTCTTTGATATTTTAGGGATCAACATTTTGGATAGAGGCGGAAAATCTGTAAAACTTACTGACAGATGTGCATTGAATGAAAGTCAACAATTTTTGAGAGAGACTAAGAGCATCATACTCTAAGAGTATCATAGTCTAAAGAATTTTGCTACAGGCTAGAGAAAACGCACACCACGGTTTCTGGGTTTCTAAAAAAATAGCAGGGCTGAGCCCACCCTGCTAAGAAATCCTGGCTACGCCGCTAGTAACAAACGAAGAATTTTAAACTGACCACGACAGTAGTGATGCAATTCAGTGACATTGGCATAACTCATTTTCCATCGTTGTTCGAGTAACTAGTAAGAAGTTTGCTGTACCACACAACAAGCATAATATTGAAAGGATCGAGAATTGTCTTTGAACGGCAAAACTTTTGTCAACACGTACACTTGTGCGGTGTAAAGGACCGGAAACAGTTTGTGCAACATGACTTTGAGCGCAAACTGTCTAGACTAAACGCTCAAAACTTCTTCTGGAAAACTTCAAACAGAATCTCTTACAATTTCTCATTACTGTCCCTAACGAAACGTACTAAGGGGGTCCCGCCTCAGAAATTGATGATTTACATGGAAAAACTGAAATTGTGTGTCCTGCTTAGCCAGATGGACTGAAGTCTCCTCTTTCAGACTATGCGCTGCTTTCCACAAAAGAACTGGTGTTTTATGAGGTTTTGAGCGGTTTTCTGTCAGTCACTTCGGTTTTCAGACAGTTTTAGCTTTTTTTGCCCGTGAATAAAATAGCGTCATTTTCAGTAGTGAGGATGTTTACTAGTGTCCTATGCTGTAATCATGATATCTGATATTTCTGTCAGATATTCACTATGTTTTCTAGCGGTCAAATAGCTTCTGTGAGGATAAATGAAAGAAGGAACCAATCACATCTCTGGCGCCACAGTACATATGTTTTAAAAAAGCTATGTAATTCAACCGGGTATACCTGAATAGAAAGAGCTTTATTTTTGCTTCGTAAATATGTACCATACTCCTATATTCAACCTTAAATCTGCTGTCACTATGCTCTTCGCACTCAATTAACGTTTTCAAGGTCGACTGTCACGCTGAATTTGCGATGCGATCGCGTAGCGCATTCAAGAAACACAATTTCAGTTTTTCTATGTAAATCATGAATTCCTGAGGCGAGACCCCCTTAATACGTTTCTTTTACATTACAATTTCTCATCGTACAACGAGAAATTGTAAGAGATTCTGTTTGAAGTTTTCCAGAAGAAGTTTTGGACGTTTAGTCTACACAGTTTGCGCTCAGAATCATGTTGCACAAACCGTTTCCGGTCTTTTACACCGCACAAGTGCACTTGTTGACAAAAGTTTTACTGTTCAAAGACAACTCTCGATTCTTTCAATACTATGTTTGCTGTGTGGCAAAGTTGCGGTTGCTATTAATCTGAAATAAACTCAAAAATCAAGATTCTTTGTTCTTCAACGTCAATGTCATTGATTTATGCGATCCATTTTCTCACATTTGTTCAAGACAAATAGTAAAAGTATTGAGTAAATGACAAAGAAAACCACGAAAACTTATCGTTTTTATTTCGTCCGTAAGTAAAGTGAATAAATCATTCACTTAGAAATGTCGTTTATAACAAATAAGAGAACAACATAAAAAGTTTCTATTAATATATTTGTTATCTGATTTAATTGACTTCTGTTCCAAAATTTTGACGATAATCAAGTGCACAGTATTTTACAACTATATTTAGTTCGCTGGAACCTAAATATGTTTGCGTGTTCAAATGCCACTCCCTTTTTCACATTATTCTTAGTAAATAATGAAGTTCTGATGTCATAATAATTTCTTTTTATCTACAAAATAGTTTTCTATTTCCTTGAAATGGACGATGTATGTTTCCATTATAGAAATAAAGATAAAATTATTTCCACTATGATAACTTTCTCTTTTTTAACTGCCCAACCGGATACAACTGTCGAAGATATGAACGTATTAACAAATTGTACTGAAAATATATGTTTAATGAATAATTCATGTTTTATGAATGATTATAATGTATCAAAATGTAAATGTCCACCATGTTTCAATGGATTAGAATGTGAACAAAATGATGATATAACGTCCATATCACCATTTTTAGCTTTATCGCAGGATAGTCCGAATAGAAAATTACTTTATCTGATTTTAATGCATTTGCTTATGTTTACAGCTATCATAAACAATTTGTTGTGTGTACAAACATTTCTATGTCAAAAAATTCGTTTAACTAACTGTGGTATCTATTTAATATTTCTTTCTCTGCTATGTTTTGTATGTTGTATTCTCATAGAAATAATTCTTATAAAAGAAATAACATTATCCATTTATATTAATATTACTGTTATATTGATGACAATTCCTGTAATGGTTGACATTGGATTTTGGTTGAATAGTTTTATTTCAGTTGAGCGTGCATTAATCGAATATTTCAACTATAATCTATTTGATAGAAGGCTACGCTCAATTTTAAGCACATTTATTCTTGTTGTCGTTATTTTAGTATCATATGGATCAGATATTGTAGGATCTATATTACCAAAAATAAATATTATATCTCAAATATTTGATTATGTACATCGATTAGTACCATGGCTTTTACATATTGTATCGAGTTTACTAGTTTTAACTAGTATTGCTCGACGAAAAGTTTATATTTCAAATCGAATCGATTATTGTCATGCGTGGCTTGATCAACTATCAGAACATCGATACTTTTTTATTCCACCAATTGTATGTATGAGCTGTCATATACCGATGATCGTATACACCAAATGGGTCTATAACTGTGCAAATTTTGACAAAATCATTTCATTACGCGTGTACATCGGATTGACATTTCTCTTTGTTTTACCATTTACATTTACATTTTTCATTTATGTTTGGCCATCAAATATTTATATATCAGAATTTCGATATTCATCAATTATAGGAAAATGTCTTGCGGCAATTAAAAGACATTTTATAAAGAAATCAAGTGCATGTAAGAGAGTACATTATCCGATCAAAATTAAATTTTGATCTCTGTTCGTGTCCTTTCTATTCGCCGTTCAGAATAATTTCAACGTGTTTGCTCAACGATTTATAGCAATTTTTATGGTATAGCACTGGGAAAATGTTCAGAACATGTTTCTGTTTGTAAGCCGTTTTTACGAGTTTGATGTATATTTGAAGTCATTTTTACTTTATCTTGTAGAAAATAAGATTTATTTATTCAATCCAAACGTTTCGGTGTTTTATACACCTTCAGTGGATAAATAATTAAGAAAATACAAAACTGAGCGATAAGAATGTATAAAACTAAAATTCATAACAACTCTTAATTTATGGCACAGCATATTTGTGTTTAATATGAGTTTTATAGTTCTTATCGCTCAATTTTGTATTTTCTTGATGATTTATCCACTGAAGATGGTGTATAAAACACCGAAACGTTTGGATTGAATAAATAAATCTTATTTTCTACAAGATAAAGTAAAAATAACTTTAAATGCACATGTTTCTGTATCTAAACTCTTTTTCTCTTGATCTATAGTTTATAATTTTGAGCTGTATTTCAATCGAAAAAGTGGAAAATACCAGACAGAACAGCTATTTTGTGAATATTAGACTTGTTATCAAAATTTGTAAAATTTTAAAAGCTAAAACGTTCGTTTCTTTTGTGAAAAAATCGCTTTCACAGTGCCGAAGCCAAGTTGTCTTCAAAAATTCGAAAAGCTCCTCTTGTAGACTTGAAAATTTTCTACATAATCAACTGTTTTACGTTGAAATAAAACCTCAGAAAGCAGTCTGAAAACAAAGTAATTTATAATAAATATAAGTAGTAGTTTGATGTAGAGACAATTTGTAAAATTTTCATCGTATTCTGGTTAGTTCTCAAGTCTTTTTGCTTAGAAAAACTTATTAGTGTGCAACTAGCCGTTGAGCATATCCATCATTTCCCGTCACACACACTGATGCCAAAACCGAATGAACACGCTCAGAGATTTCGAGAGTGATTCTTAATATTAATCCCAAATCTGGTCTGATATTTATTTGAGTCTACATTAATTTTAACTTTCTATTTCTAGAATCTGGTATGTAGAGATCAATCTTATAGTTTTAGTTTAACAGATTCTAATACCATCAGTTTGTACTCGATTTACACATATAATATAAACTTCAGAAGAGAACAAGAAGACGCAAGTATAATGACTTTTTTAATTCAGTAAAAAACGTATTCGATAAATCTAAAAAGTTTATATTCATATATGTAAGTCGAGTTATTGTACAAAGTCATGGTATCAGAACCTGTTAAACTGAAACTATGGAACGGGTGTCTAAAGACCGCATTCTAGATTCCATATTGATTCAAAAAATGAGCATCAGATTCGTAATCACTATCAAGAGTCCGCCCAGAAGAGCTTTTAATCACTTGTAAACGTTCGCTTATCCGTTGTACAGGAGCCCTTTGTCAACGCCATAGCCTGTTATAACTGATGTATTCTTCGAGGCTAGAGTGACATGATACATGATGTCTCCTTTACACTTAATAATGTACTTTTCCTTTAAAAACTGAAGTATATAGATTTTTATAACATTCGCTAGTTGTACATCTTTGGCGTTACGTAAATAAAACGTACTGAACATTTTTGAATCTTAACTCTTTTTCTACTTTCTTTCGTGCTGGTTTCGTTCTCCAGTTTCCATTTTTCGTTACTTTTCGATTTCTACCTTTTTTTGCTTTTATTATAATTAGCACATACTCTTCTCTGACGTGGGAGCATCCTCAACTGATAAATCGCTTTTTTGATCAAAATCTAGCGGACTATAGGTTATCAACCATGCTGGTTCCAAATATGACCATGGAGATTCCCAAAGCCTTTTGGGAATTTGGTTTTCTGAAAAATCAGTCTTTCAGAAACTCTAAAAAATAACCCAAACCTTTCTTAATGAAGCATAATTGTAGCCCGCAAATTTCTGATCAAAACGAGAAATCTTCGAGCTTTACATCATCTTTCTTTGCAAAGTTAAAGAATTTACAAGAAATTAATTTAGGGCTTTTCTTGTAAATTCTATAGCTTTGCAAAGAAAGGTCGTGTAGAGCTGGGAGATT